GGGGGGGGGCGAAGGGGAGGAAACCTGGTAACACCCAAAAAGAACTGGTTCAGATCTCTCCAAGCCTCGCTCCTTGTCAGCTGAGGATCCAGCCAGCCTAGCTCTGTTTCCCTCACCCCAGAAGGCCAGGTGTTCCCACTTGTCATCCAACTGCTTAGCCAGGGGCCGGAGTGCCTGAAGCCCTCTCCCTTTCCGGCAGCTGTTCTATGACTCAGCTCTTTCTCTGTACCCCTCCCCTCCCCTACAGCTTCCTGTCTCTGGCAGGAAACCGAATCAGGCAGGTGGAAAACCTTCGTGACCTCCCACACCTCCAGTTTCTGGACCTTTCTGAGAACCTGATAGAAAAACTGAAGCTGGGTAGGAACGCCCTCACTCTGGCTCATAGAATAAGTCCCGTGCGGGGCCCTCCCTCCTTTCTGCCCCCATCTCCCTGTGCCTGCCTTAGCAGCACATCCTCCAGGGGGTCAGGGGCTGTGCAGAGAGGCAGTGGCTTTGGGATAGAAGGTGGGTGTGAGAACCTCATTCGCTCACTTTGGTGCAAGCAGATGAATTCCCCCAGAGCCTTCTCATCCTCAACCTGACTGGAAACAGCTGCACCAACCAGGATGGCTACAGGTGAGCAGGAACTGAAGGTGGGAAGAAAGGGGCGATGGCTGGTCTCCTCCTACTAACTCCACGTGGGCTCCCTCTCAGCCTGCAAACCTGGAGTCTCAGTCCATGGTACCTTCTCCGCCCCCACCCCAGCTCATCAGCCCTTTTTCCCTTTCCCGCCCATAACTCCTCATGGAACCAGCCCTTAGCTCTTTGGGGACTTCCCACTCAGGAGCCAGCATCCCACCCGGTGTGGGTGCTGTTGCTGTGTGTGCAACCTCCCAGGCTCCACACCCACAGGTGCCCTCCAACAGAGCATCTGCTTTCTGCCCTGCAGGGAGCTGGTGATCGGAGCCCTGCCACTGCTCATGGACCTGGACAGGCAGCCTGTGTCGGAGCGCTGGGACTCAGATGAGGAGGGTAAAGCCTCGGATGAAGAGTTCCCAGAGCTGAGTGGCCCATTCTGCTCAGAGCGAGGTGACCCTGCTTTCCAATGCTTGCAGCCTCCCCAGAGCTCACCCCTGCCCCGTGGGGTCTGGGGAAATAGCCCCAAGCCCAGATCAGCATCTGGGCCAGAGGAGGACAATACAGCTAGGGCCAGAGGTCAGCCTGGGCACACAGGCGACTCGCCCTCCCCACCCCAGCCTCAGGCTCCTCCCTATTAGGGATGGCAGTTTGCTCAGCTCAGCCAGAGACTTTCTCCCTCTGCCCAGGGGCCCTTGTGCTGAGCCCAGGCTCCATCAGACACCCACCATCCTGGCCCTCACAGGCTTCCTCAAGGAGCTGGAACAGGACATGAGCAGGCACAAGGAGCGCAGACAGCAGGCAGCCCAGATGGAGCACCTTCTGAGGATGGAGACACAGCCCGTGCTCACTGAGCTCCCCCAGCTGCCCGGGAGGTCCATGGCTGGGGATAGCAGCCCTTCTGTCACTGCCGGGCAAGGGAAGAAGACACCCCATGAGCCTGCCCCCTTGCCTCAAGCCTCCTTTGCCACCAAGAAACTGTGGCCTCTGGTTTCCAAGGGCCCCCAAAACCTTGTCCAGGCAAGGAAGGGGGTGAGAGCAGCTGTAGCCCCCAAGGTCTCTGTGGCTGGGGCACCCAGCACAACCAAAACTATGACCAGGAGAATCAAGAAATGAATTGCTACCCTACCCTGTCAGCAAAGCCACAGGAACAAGAACTGGGCAAGAAGAGTAGAATGGGCCTCCCCTCCTCCTCAGAGCCCTCCCCTGTGGCAGGAGCCTCTCCCAATAAAGTGTCTCCAGGCCCTGAATTTGTCGTTCATGTCACTGGGGAATATCAAGGGAAGCAATCAGTAAAACACATAAGAAATAAAACATTTATTAAGACAAGGCCGAGCCGGCTACTCAGAACAAGGGGCACGAAGGAACTGCTCTGATCCCACTACCCCAGGGGTCCAGCGCCCACACCCAGCCCCTCACCCCATGCGGGCCAGGGGGCGCTGTGGAGCTCAGGCATATGCTTGGCTCTCCTTCTCCACAAAGACCTGGAAGAGGCCACCCAGTTCCTGGGGGGGTGGGGCACACTCCCCAGCCAGCAGCCCCCTCACTGCCTCCAGGCCTTCCAGCTCCAGATCCCGCTGCTTCTGCCGCAGCTGCTGCCCCTGATCCTGCCAGGGAAAGGCAGAGATGAGTCCCAGGGCAGGCTTCCCTCCCAATTAAGGGGGACATGTCTGCGGTCTCACACAGTAGGAGAAAGGACAGACGACCTGACGTTCTCCTGGGCAGCTGGCTCTGAAGGGAGAGACCCCTCTCCCCAGCCCAGAAGTCTCTCCACTCCCAAGTCCTCTCATGTTTCCAGAACTCAGTTGGGTGTGGGGGAGATGAGCTGCCCCCCCAGGGTACCCCTATTCCCTGGGGGTTACCTGCTCACTCTCCATTAGCCCCAGGGCCTCCTGGTGTCTACGGTAGAGAGAGTGCCGGCGATCCACCTGAGTCTGGAATCGGGGCATGGTCCGGACAGGGTCCTGTGCTCCAAAAGTGGGGGACAGCACCTGGGGGGCCTGAGCTGCCCCCACCCCGAAGATGAAAGGTTTGAACACTGACCTAATGGGACGCAGATGGAAGGATGGAGGACTGTCACATCCCTCGATTTCCCCTGCCCAGCACACTCTCCCCCTCCTGCCCCAGCCTCCCTCCTCTCACCTAGATGGGTCAGGTGTGGCAGTGAGGAAGTGGACACAGGGCTGCGTGGGATCCCGGGGCAGGACGGACACCATGCTGGCCGTGGTGCGGAAGCCTCCAGAGTCCATACAGATGCCACTTTCCTTGTTCCTGAGGATGTCCATCATCGCCTCTGCGGTGATGCCCCCTGCCAAGTAGGACAGGGTAAGGGCTCCCAGGGCAGAAGGGGAACCTCTGGCTTCAGACCAAGCCCCCAAAGTTATGGGAGGGAGGAGGGGCTGGCAGAGTTGTGGCCCTCCCCGCCTTCACCCCTGCCCACTCCCTGACCTTGCCGTTCCTGCAGCAGCTCCCGCCCAGCCCTGAAGCGGGCCTTGGCAGCCTCCATGCGCACCGGCTGCTGCGTCAGGGAGAAGACCTGAGCGAAGTCAAAGGTGCCCCGGCCGCCCCACCAGCCCTGGGCCTGGGCGTGGGTCCGAAGCTCCGGGTGTTCAGCTGAGATGTCTGTGCCAATGCTCAGCTGGTTGGAGATGTTGCGGGCCCCCTCTGTGAGGGAGAAGAGGGGTAGTTCGTTCATTATTAAGCACCTATTCTGTGCCAGGTGCCCGGCTAGGTGCTGAGAACACAGTGGTGAAGAGAACAGACCTACCCTCATGGAGAGGGAGACAGACAAAACAATCACAGAAATAATCAGAAATAAATGTGAGCTTGCCATCTGTGGTGAGTGTGATGAAGAAGCACCTGTTTGCATATAAGGGGGGAGCTTGACCACCAAGGAGTTCAGGAAGGCTCTCAGAGGAAGCAGCGGCAGGCTGGAGCACAAGAGCACTTAACCAAGTGAGAGGGGAGATAAGTTCCCCAGAGGGCTCATTTTCCATCTCTCTAGATGGCCCCACCACCTAAGAGGTTTGCACCTGGGTTGGCCCTTCCCTGCCACCACCATTTTTCCACCCCCTTCAAAAGCTAGCAAAAGGGGCCACCTCTGGGAGGCAGGTCCCAGCACCAGGCTCCTCACCCGGGATCCTCTGCGCAGCCCACAGCCTCCCTGCCGTCTCCAGCACCCATGCCTCAGTTCGGTCAGCCAGCAGGAAGGTGTTGTGGTAGCGGAATGATGTGGCATCCTCCCGGCAGCTGCCCCCCTGCCCATAGCGCTCCAGCAAGCCTGTGATCACGTGCAAGGCCTCCTGGGCTGAGCTGCTCCGCTCTAAAGCCAGCCTGGCACAAAAAGAGGTCCAGGGGACAGAAGGGTGATAGGGTATCAGTGGCTGGTGGCCGAAGTTCCAGTGGACAGAAGAAGCCCAGGGAGGTTAGGTGTCAGGCCCAAGTCCCATAGAAAATCTGCCAACATTGCACAATTACACCAGTGATTTTCAAGCTGCCTCTAAGGGTTCCATGGAAAGGGCCAAAACATAGTCTCAGAGAGAGAAGTGCCCTGAGCCCCAAGACCTCTCTTCAATCAGACGTGCTCCACTTTTACTGGTTTTATAAATTGGGACTCTACATGAGCTGTCATTTGAAAAACATTTTACCTCTATTGAAAAGAAACTAAAACCACTGTCCTATTTCTGGGCCAGGAGAGGCCAGAGGTGGCCACATTGGAGAGCTTCTTACCAGATTGTGGAGATAGGAGGGAGGAGGGCAGGGGCAGCCTCCCGGTGATGATACCAAGACAAGATGGGCATAAAGGAGGAGGCCCTTGTGAACCAGGCTTGGAGGAGGGGAGGATGGCTGGGCCAGTACTCGGCCCCCAAGACTTCTAGTGTGGTGAGGGGATAAGAGAGCAGGGGCCGCACCTGAGTAGATCCATGCCCAGCAGGGCTTCCCCCTCCCCAACTGGCTCCTTGGTCCAAACAGCCTCGTTGCCAATGCAGACACCATGCTCGTTGGCGCCCATCTCGGCCCCCCACAGCCAAGAAGGGCGGCTTAGGATCACAGCATGGGTTTTCAACACCTGTTCCACCTCAATGTAGGTGCACTGCAGGTAGGGGAGAAGAGGAGTCCACTCAGAAAGGCGAGGTACCTACAAAGTGCTGGCACTGTGCCAGTCACCTTACACAGCCCTTAGAGGAAGGTCTTATTTCCATTTTACAGATGAGAAAACAGAGGATGACAGAGGTTAAGTAATAGGCTAAGTCCAGGTTGGTAGACGTGAAGCTCATGCTCTTTCCACATCTGGAGGCTTCCCAGGTGTGGGAAGCAGAGAGGGGAAAGGTCTTAGAAGAATGCCTACACCTGCCACCTCCTGGCACCCCATAAGGCCTAACACACCTGGAGCCTGCTGCCAGGGGTATGAGTGCCTGCTGGTACAAACACCACCTCCTGCACCTCATCCCGGGGTCGGTCTGAGTTCTTGGCAAAGATCACAGCTGGGATGGCAGAGGCCGGGGGCATGGAGACAAAGCAGTCACAGGAACATGGGGTGTCAGGGCTCCACGATGTCATCTGGGGGAGAGGTGGAGATGAGTGTGTCCCTCATGCCACCTCTCCACCATCCTGGCCAGGAATCAGTCTTAGGGAGCCCCTTTCCCAACAGGTGAAAACAGACACTCAGGGAAGGCACTGCAGTCGGGTTCTGGTGCCCCAGCACCCCACGCACACTCGATGTGCGATGTGACACTGAGGCACCTACTCTCTCCCTAAGCTCCAGGCTTAGGAATCAGTAGGCCAGGGCAGACCATCAGGCTCCCCGGGCCCTGCCCTACTGAGAGTCCTGGCCCATCCCCCTAGTTACCCCGCCTCTCCAAGAGTCCCACACCCCTCTTCTATCCACCCCTCCTGGCTTCCCAGGAATATATGCTCCTCACCCTCTCTCCCTGCAAGATCCCCAGCTTAGTTCCGGGAGCCAGTGCCTCCATTCAGGGTCAGATTTGTCCCGTTGGACCAAGGTTCCCAGGTGACCTGGAAGGCCTTGCCCCCGGCGGGGCGGAGCTGGAACAGAGCGCCTGCAGTTCCGCTATCGTCCACCAGGGTGCGCGCCAGCACCACTTCTTGGAGAAGAGCGGCCTTCCTAGTCTTGCCTGGCTGCTTGCCTTTCCCCGGGCGGGCGCAGCTCTCAGGCCAGAAAAGGCTGCGAATCAGCGCGCGACTCCTAAAGGGACACTGTGCGGAGCAGGAGCTGCGAGCAGGAGCCATGTGAAAAGAGAGGAAAGAAAAGCTGGGCTGATTTATTAGAGAGCTGGGACTGCTGGGGCATCTGGAGATTAAGAAAGAACCTCAGCTACTTGTGCCCTGGTTTGAATTCCTAAGGCACGGTTCAAGGCTGGTGCCCCACCAACCTCCCCAGTAAGATGTATAAGAATGGCCAGGTCCTGACCGGTGTCGCTCAGTTGGCTGAGCGTGGTCCCATGCACCAAGAAGTCACTGATTCGATTCCTGGTCAGGGCAAATGCACACGTTTTGGCTCAATTCCTGGTGGGAGGCATGTTGCCAATCGATGTCTTTCTCTCCCTCCCCCCCCTTCTCTCTCTGAAATCAATAAAAATATTTTTTAAGAAAGAAAAATTTTTATTTTTTTATATTATTTTAAATATATATCTTTATTGGTTTCAGGGAGAGGAAGGGAGAGGGGGAGAGAGAGAGAGAAACATCAATGAAAGAGTCCTCTTTGATTGGCTGCCTCCTATATGCCCCTGACTGGGGATCAAGCCCACAACCTGGGCATGTGCCCTGACTGGGAATCCAACCACGAGCTCCTGGATCCTAGGTCGATGCTCAACCACTGAGCCACACCCAGCTGGCAAGAAAGAAAATATATTTTTTAAAAAAGAAAAGAATAATCAGGCCAGGAGGTGTAGGGGACACATAATTAATGCCATTTTGAAGGACACATTTAACCTCCAAAAGGCTGATTCTGCCCCACAGTGCTCAAACTCATAGGAAGATAGCTTTGAAAGAAAAGTTGGGAGTTTCTACTCCAAATATATAGTGCCTTTGCACAGTGAAGCTGAAACCGTACAAAAGTCTTGGCCAAGAGGGGCAGGGGGCACACATCAGTGCAGAGGTGGACTCTGGTCTCAAATGTTCTGCTTCCTGGGTCATTTTTCTCTATAAGCCACCTCCACAACCAGCATTTAAGCCAATGCATCTTACACCTTTTTGCTCTGTGGAGTCCTCCAGGAATGGGTGAGACACTGAGATTATCTATTTCTCCCACATCCATCAGGGCCTCTGCTCAGAGCCCTGGCCACGGCATTCAAGCTTGTGGTCAGTCCCTCCTAGGATGGGAATCAAGGCAGAGACTGATGCAGGCTGTAGGCAGGTGTGCTTGGTGATGGCTGGAGGAGACCTGCCAGATAAGGCTGTTGGGGCCTGCAATCTGAGATATTTCCTAAATGCCTCCAGGTATTCAAGGCCGAGTCCCAAGAGGATGCTGTCTCCAGGGAGATGAGCTTCACTTTCAGAAAGGGAACTGCCACTTGAAGAGAAGAATGATCTACAAACTGGGTTGGAAGTAGGGAGGAGCATTACCTGGAACTTTGCAGATTGGCATCTCATCTTGCTTCTGTGGGGTCCCTTTGGGCAAGTCACTTTCTCTGCAAGGGCCTCAGTTTTCCCAGTGGCAAACTGAAGGTATTTAGCTAGATCAGTGGTGGTTCTCAACCATGGGTGGGGTGAGAAAGGGTTTTTTAATTTATTTTTTATTTATTGATTGATATTAAAGAGAGAGGGAGAGAGAGACATCAATTTGTTGTTCCACTTATTTATGCACTCATTGGTTGACTGTTGTATGTGGCCTAACTGGGGATTGAACTCTCATCCTTGGTGTATCAGGCTGATACTCCAACCAACTAAGCTACCCAGTCAGGGTGGTTATTTTTCAACCACACAAGTCTCACTGCACAGCACAATACTTTAATACTCTGCTATCAAAGTGTCAGCAGACTCCCAGCATCAGCATCATCTGAAAGCTTGTAAAAATTGCAGAATCTTGGGCCCCACCTCAGACTTACTGAATCAGAAGTTGCATGTTAGACCTCAAGTGTGAATTTTGAGAAGCGCTGTTCTAATATAGCCCCAAGGGGCATAACTGGGTGGGGCTTGAGGGAGGGAATCGGGATATCTTGAAAAACTCCATGGGTGATTCTAATATGCTGTCTACTGGGTAGGAACAACAGGACTGTGTGGTTCCTGAGATTCTTTTCAAACCTACACTGTTAGGATGCTGAACAGTCAGGCTCACTGGGGCTAATGTGGAGGTAAAGCCTGCTTTGGATGCAACGTCAGGGAGGGATGGTAAGGTTGCCATTGCATGGCGTTCCAGAAACAAATATCAAAGCTGTGCACTAACACGAGCACCAAAACGGCTAGCAAGAAAGCTGGTTCACCTCCTGAACTTCCCCAGATGCCCGCTAGGGGTCAGGAACAGGCAGGAGGAGGAGGATGGGTCAGCTGCATGCAGCACAGCCCCAGGCGGCAGTTCCCAGGCAGCCCGATCTTCTGTCACTTTCCCATTCCTGATTTCACTCACCCACCTTAGAATTCTACTCCCACTTCCCAGGAGAGGAGATGGCGGCTCAGAGAGGTCGCCCAAAAGGTCAGTCCAGATGTTCTAATTTCCCTCCCTCCCTCCCAGCCCCTCTGGGATCGTCCTGCCAGGGGCTTCAGATCTGAGGGGTCAGAGGTGGCCGGCCTTGGGCTCCATCAGAGGGGCCAGGCCAGCCAGGCAGCATTGCTGTCAAAGCAAACGAGCCTAGTGAGCGTCAGAGCCCCACCAAAGGCCCCCGCTAAGAATGCAGGTCAGCGGGAGGAGTTGCAAGGGGAGGAGGGGCAGCCCCAGCCCTGCCCAGACAGGCCCAGCCAGCACCACGGCTAGCCTCCTGTCTCTGGGGGCAGCCATGGAAGGAAAAAGAGGAGAGGACTCACTAGGTTCCTGGGGTCTAACTCCCCCAGAATGAGGAGAACAAAAGAGGCGCCCCGAGGAGTGGGGTGGGCATGATCATGGTCATGGGAAAATGCACCTGTCCCTTATCCTCCCGGACTTCTAAAGCAGGAGCAGATGGAAACAAACATTTGCACCCCCAGATCAGCCTGGTTTTCCCTGTGATCCCGCAAATCATTCTGATGCCCCATCCCAACGTGGACTTTGTGAGCCCAGACCCAAACCTGTGATGGGGTGGACCAACCTGAGTACTGATTTGGCTCTGAGAAATTAATTGGGTTGGGGTTAAAGTGGGGGAAATAGAAGTCCCACTAGAGGAAAGAATAATTTTGGCAAAAAAAAAAAAAAGTAGATGGGAAGGTGAAAGAACACAATAATCTATCCTGCTCTCTTGAAATCCAAAACTGATCCTCTGTCCATCTTTCTGGCTATGGGGCTCTGGAGTTGAAGTTTTTACTCATTTGACATTAATTAGGCACCATCTGCATGCCAGGCATTGGGCAGCCTGGGAAAGTGCACAGATGGGCATTTCTGCATATCTGAGGGTGCCCCGTGGGTCCAGTGAGGGCGCATTTGTGCACAGTGTGGTTGTGTAACTGTGGCAGGTCTCTATCTGGGAGTTGCAGTAGGAGCCTTTCCCTCATACTTTCCAGCTGGGCGAGAGCCCATCAGATATCTTGGCAGCCTTTCATCGCCTTGCTCCTGATAGGGATCATCCTGGGTGAAGAAATCGCTGTCAGTCACCCCCACTTCACTCACAGCCAGAGGGACCGATTGACACACACACATCCCATGGGGGTGGGGTGAGGGTGCCAAGAGGCTGGCTATCTCTGGGAAGGCAGGGAACCAGCGTTCTTGACACGGGAGGGGAAAGAGGGGGCTTGTATGTGGAGGAGGAAGGAAATATCTAGAACTTCCTCATCTGCACGGGTTAAGACCAGAGTGGGACAGTCAGCAGAGCTATCCACCCAGAGGGAGCTCCTCCCTCCTTCTGAACCAGCCACCTCCAGGGCAGGATCGGACCCTTCCATCAGCTCAGCTCTGCCCCAAACAAAGGGAGAGGGGTGAGGTGCCCAGGGCTGCAAGATCAAAAGGAAGTGTCCACCCCACCCTGCAGCAGCCTGGTCTCCACTGCCGAGGGACACTGAGTCAAAAAGGAAACCCGAGCTGGAAGACAAATGAAGCAACGATGTGATTGATGACTTTATTATGGCATAAAAAACACAGGCTGTTTCTCCCTCCTCTTCCCCCCCAACAAAGTGGGTTCACAGCAGTTAAAGAAAAAAATTCCTACATTTCTCCTCTAGGGGGCTGCCTAGAAGGGGGCCAACAGCCAAGAAAACCTAACCAAAGCCCTCACCTGACACCTTAGAGCTGGGGGCCTCCATAGGGGGAACACCCATGTTCCCCCACTACCAACACCCATTCAAGAGTTCCCCTTAGAATGGTCACTGGGAAAAGCTGTCCTGGTGGCACGAGGAGGTGGTGGCTGGTTTCGATGGGTGGAGGAGAAAGGCATCTCACACCCACGGTGCCCTTCCTTTCTCCCAGTCTCTCTACCTGGCCAGGCAACCTGCAGGCACTGCCAACTTTCTCCTGCCCCCAACCCTCTAAGGAAGGAAAGGGACCTCTGGTTGGGTTAGCAGGAGGTAGGGATAAGACGGAGCATAAAGAAAGAACATTACTTCTTAAACTATCCCAGGCCCAAGAGTTCCTCAGGGAGTCACCCTGTCCCTTTTAAGGACTCCCTTCTACACAAACACATATTCTCACCCAGATCCCAGCCCCATTTCCCATTGAGCTCCCAGTCCTTGGACTGGGCTCCAGCATCCCCAAGGGAGAAAGAGACACTGTAGGCCTAGACCCCAGGACCTTGGGTGGGGTGAACAAGATAGGGTCTCCCTGGCTGGAGACCCCAGGCTCAGTAGAGAAACACACACACAAACATACACACACATGTACACACAACATGCACAGACACGTGCCCTAATATTAAATAAAATACCCTTTGCTTATAACTTAAAAATCAATACACAACTAATCCTCAAATAAGGCTCTGGGTGGAAAGAAGGGGAGGTCAGGGGAAACCTTACGGCCTCTAGCTCAAGCCTGGGAAAGTCCACTAGCTCCAAACCCTTCCCTCATCAGCTCCTTTCCCTTTACCAGGCTCAGCCTCTGCTGGACTTCTCCCCTCTCCTCTTCCCCACTCCAGGATTACAACCAGGATGTATTTCTAGCATCTAAAGAAGAAAACAGGGACAGCTCCCTGGACATCACCTCAGAAGGCAGACCCCCTCCGGTGGGAGAACCACTCCTTCATGTGGAAGGGGATGGGGAGCCTCCTAGCACATTCTACAGGAGGGGCAAGGCTTGCAGGGGCAGGGAAAGGGGAGGGTGAGCAGGAGCTGGCCAGGCAGAGACAGAGTCCTCCACTCTGAGTAGGAACCCCTGGACATCCCTCTGCTGGGGCACCCCCACCTACCCCCCAGAAGCCAAGGTAACCCTGTTCCTTCCATCCCCATGGGGAAGGCAAATGATGGGGAACTTAGGATGAGGAACTACATTAATTCTAGAGCAGGGTCTTCTGGCTGACTTGAAAGCTTACACGGGATGGGGGTGGGGGGTAACAGGTGGGGAACAGGCACTACTGAACTTATTTTTTATGAAGACAAAGAGTTAAGGACTGAATCCAAGTTTGAGATGGAAGAGGTTAGTTCCTTCCATTCCCCGATTTAATTGCTTTCTCTCATTTTAGAAGGGAACTTCCTTGCCCATGCCCCACATCTAGCTCTCTTTTCCACCCGTTATGGCTGGGAAGCTGTCTCGGATTCTGGCCCTCTTCCCCTCTTCCTTCATAGCTCCATCAGACTGGGTCTGGAAGGGTTAATAAGGAGGGGCATCAAAGGAGTTCTTTCTACAGAAACAGCCCTCCTAGCCTGCTAGAGACCCCTCCCTACAGGGGACCCCAGCCTTCCCTACCCCATCTCAGCTCTCCCTCCGGAAACCCTAGGGGAAGAAGCACTATGAGGGGGATGAAAGGGACCGGGGGCCACAGGGCGGTTCCGGAGGCGCTTTTATGTCCCGGTTCCCAGGCACTAAAGACGCGTCCAGACAGCTACCCCCAGCGCCCCGGGCCGCCCCACTCCTCTCTGTTCCTGGGACACTAGCCTTCTCCAGCGGGTCCCCTCCGCCCTCCAGCCCCGGTAGGGATACCCCACCCTATCCCCCCAGCTGGGGGGTGTGAGTGAAACAGTGAGGAAACCGAGAACAGAGGGGCATACGCAGCTCCCGCACTCACCCGGGCCAGCCAAACAGTCAAACGCGTCCCGTCCAGCCACAGAGACTAAAACACCCCTAGGGTCCCCTCTCCCTGACCCCACACCACTTTTCCTCCCTCTCAATAAATATCCACCTTCTCCTCTTACTCAAGCCCCCCTCCTCCCAGGACCTCAGGCCTGGGGGCTCTCCTTTGATGCTCCCGGGGGAGACCAGCGGGAGGCTGTTGGAGGAGCTCAGTTGGAGGGAGCTGCGCCGCCCTCGGCCTCCCGCTTGCCTTTGCCCCCGGGGGACTCCGCCGCTCCGCCAGCCTTGCCCTCGCCCGTGGCCGCTCCCGCAGCCTCCTCTTTGGCGCCCTCGTGGGTTTTCATGTGTTTGGCCAGGTGGTCACTGCGCATGAAGACGCGGCTACAGACCGCGCAGGGGAACTTCTTGGTGCCGGTGTGGGTCTGGAGGTGGCGCTGCAGCTCGTCGGAGCGCGTGAAGCGCTTGCCGCAGAAGAGCCAGTTGCACACGAAGGGACGGTCGCCGCTGTGCCAGCGCAGGTGCGCTTTTAGGTGCGACGTCTTGGCGTAGGCTTTCCCGCAGCCCGGGATGTGGCAATTGTGCAAGTGCTTCTTCTTGCCCCCATCGGGCCCGCACGGAGCCCCCAGTCGCTCCGCCTCCAGGCAGTTGGGGCAGCGGCACACGGTCTGACCTGAGCTGCGGGGCACTGACCGCCGGGAGCCTTTGGGCCGGGTCGCCCCATCCAGACTGGAATCCAGCCCCTGGGATTCCGGGGCGGCAGCTTCCAAGGCCTTTGACCCGTCGGGAGGCCCCAGGAGGTGCTGCCCTCCGGCGGCTGGGAGGAGGTGGTGTGGGTGTGGGTGTGGTGGCGGGGCACAAAGCTGGTGGTCTCCAACATAGCCCCCCAAGCCAGCCTGAAGCGCCCCCGGGTGGCCAGGTGAGGTCAGCGCGCCCTGAGTGTGGGGGAGGTCCATCCAGCTGGTGCCCGGATGAAGGTCCCACCAGGAGCCATCCTCAGTGCCAGGGTGAGTTGGCCGGAACCATGATTCGTAATGGTGTGACATGTCTGGCTGCAGGAGCTTGGAAAAGGGTCCCGGGACCAAGGGATTGTCGCTTTCCAGGTCCTCGCAAGTTACGCGAGAGGAGGCCCCTGGGAGCTCATAGCCCTGCGAGAAGTCCACCTCAGGGCCCAGCGGGAGGCTCTGCAGCTCTCCAGGCTGCAGCGGGGAGGGGTAGTCCCCCGCCTCCGGGCTCGTGTGGCCCTGGTATGTTTGGAGAGGCTGCAGGTCGAGGCGCGGAGGGGAGGCGTGAGGCGCGTCCGTGTGCTGGCTGCCCAGAGAGCCGCAGACAGCGGTTAGCATTGCCGGGATGCGGGGTGGGGTGGGGGACAGGGACGGTCAGGGGCACCTCAGGTGATACCTAAAGGAGGCAAAGAAGAGAGGAAGTGAGCAAAATCACCAGCTCACCTTCCATCCCAACCTAGATGCCCTCCCTGCAAAGTGCCCCTCTCCAAGCCCCCAGGTGAAAAAGAGAAACGCACCTCTGGTTGGGGGCTAAAGATCAGTTAAGAGAATTTGAGAGCCCTGCAAAGACTTGAGGATGTGAAGTTCTGGCCAAGGGCAGAGGATGGTGGAGCCTACCTTCCCCTAGGTTACCTCTCCTATGGGACCCAGCTTATCCTGGGAGTTGCGCTGGTCCCAGGCGGGTAGGCGGGATACTCCTACAGTACAGTGCTCCAACCATCCTACCAGCCCAGCTGCCCAGGCCAGCGCAAGGGGCAGTGGCATTTCCCCCCGCAGACCTGCTGCCAGCCCAAGTGGATGCTCCAGACCCCTCTCAGCTTTCCCAGTTTAACTCAGCACGAGATGGGGAGGGGGAGGTGGTTTGTTTCTGAAACTCAAAGATGAGGCTATCTGACTTCCCAAAGCCCAAAGTCCAAGCAGATTCTGAGATTTTGGAGAAAGAGCCCTCATTCCATCACTGAGGCGTGTTCCACGAAGGCAAGCATTTCGCTACTCAACCTCACCCCCCCTTCCTGCCCCAACAAACCCACTCCCACGCCTGGCTCCTACCCATCTCCCTGTGGCAGGGACTTCACCACCCTGAGGGTTCAGCTGCAGTGCCAGTTTCTGGGGGATTTGTGGCCATCAGAGGAAGTTAAGCCCTCCCTCCGGCCCTGACCTGCACCGGGGCCAGCCAGCTCTCTCTGGCTGCTTCCATGCCCTCCTCCAATGGAGGGGAGACCCAGATGTGAAGCGGGGAGGGGGTGGCTTCCCCAGAGAAGGGGGTCACCAAGTTCTGAGTGTACCAGCAAGCTCAGGAAAGTACAGTTGACACTCCTTAAGGGATGGAGGGTGAGTGGGGAAAGCAGAGAGCAACAGCAAAAGCCAGAATCACAGAAATTAAGAGGAAGAATTGCCCAAAGAGATATTATAAAGGGGTATATTCTAGGCATGAATCATTTTTATTTTATTTATTTTTTTAAGAATATAGCTAGTAAGTTCTTTACTTCAAATAACTAAGGGGCTAACTTAATCTTTTTTTAAAAATTGACTTCAGGGGAAGAGAGAGAAACATTGATGTGAGAAATATTGCTTGGCTGCCTTCTGCACGGGCCCCAACTGGGGATCGAACTCGGGTCTCTGACTGGGAATCGAACCTCCACTTTCTGGTGTATGGGACGACATTCCAACCAACTGAGGCCAGGGCTAGGCATGGATCATTTTTAGGAGTCCCACAGATCATTCTGATACGCAGCCAAGTGTGGAGAACCACTGTTCAGACTAATCCTCTTATTTTAAAAAAGAGGAAACTGAGGTAGTATTTGGAGAAGTGACTTGAACAAAGACATTCATTTATTCATTCAATCAGCGAATAGGTACTGCATGTACCTCTGTGAATCGTGTCTCTCCACTTTCCCTAAACCATTGGGAACCTAAAGACCTCCACCCCTTTCCTGACCATCTGTCTGTGACTTGAAGGTCCCCCTCTTCTCACCACCTGTCCCTAAGGCCTGGGAGTACTGGTGCCCCGGGTGGGGGGTTTATATCCCTGGGCCTCCTCTATGGTTTAGGGCAGGGCTCAGCTGACCCTACTCCTTTCTGCCTCTGGGACCGGGGAGGTGGCCCGGGGAGTCTGGGAGAGGGAGAGAGAGAGGGACTGGGGCGCCTACTCAGGCTCCTGCAGCCTCACCACAAGAAAGGAACAGGATGAAGCAGCAGGAATGGAGCCTCGGGCCCAGGCGGGGCAGCCCAGAAGGGGCTGGGCGGGAGCAGTGAGGCCTGGGACCCTAATAGCTTTTGGCGCCTGGGAAGGGCCCCAAAGGCTAGGGGGTGGAGAGGCTCAGGACCCAGGCTCCCCAGAGGGGCCCCTCCCGACCCAGGGCAGGGAGCCCAGTCCTGGGACGCATGGCTTGCCAGCAAGGTTTCGGGGAGGGAGACAGCAGGACGCACACTCCCGGCTCGTTGGGGAACGCGGCTACAGACGCCCTCCTCCCCTCTTCCGCCGGCTGCCTCTCCAGATCACCGGCGCTCAGGTGGTAGGGCTTTCGTACTCCCAGTCCTTAAGGTTCAAGTCCTCCGGTTGTCCCAGTCGCTCCAGTTTCCCCAGTTTCCAGTCTCCTCGGTCCCTCCAGTCTCTCCCGTCCGCCCAGTTTTCTCTCCGCCGGGGCTCGGAGCCCCTCGGATTCACCTCCCCCAAGGCCATAGGAGGCTGGAGCGCGTTCCTGGAGTGTCTTTCGGAGACGATCCCG